CGGTTCATACCAAGGTTTGTGGATGTCGTTCACCCCCTGACGAGCCTTCTACGGAAGAACAGCCCAGTTCAGTGGACCTCAGAGTGTGATGCCACTTTTCACCAAATGAAGTGTTTGTTAACTTCAGAGCCAAAATACTTCGGCACTTCAAACCTTCGTCGACTACAGAAATTCACACAGACGCAAGTAGCATCGGTATCGGTGCCGTTCTCGCCCATCGTTCTCGCAAAAAGGAACACGTTCTGGCGTACGCAAGTCATTCTTTAAGCAAGCCTGAATGCAACTACACATTGACCGAACACGAATGCCTAGCGGTAGTATTTGCCGTACAATGGTTTCGCTCATACATCTATGTTCGCCCGTTCACCATTGTCACAGATCACCGTTCCCTGTGTTGGCTGGTCAACCTTCTTGACCCATCCGGCCACCTCGCACGATGGGGCATTCGTTTGCAAGGATATGTCTTCACTATTTCATACAATACTGGCCGTCTACATGCTGATGCGGATTGCCTCTCCAGGATGCCGCTACCGATGACAGATTCTGAAGCCGATAACTTTGACCACCTTATCGCTTCTCTGTCATCTGGCTTTCCCGATGCCGTGGCTTTCGCCGCTGAGCAGCGCAATGACCCAAACTTGAAAGCTCTCTTCCCTGGAACAAGAAAGTCATTAGGCGAAGGCTGATTCTGCGTCCAAAATGGCCTTATTTACAAGAAAAACTTGTCCACGATGGGCGCCCACTTTCTGCTGGCTGTTCCTGCGTCCCTCCAAACGTCTTTTCGGCGTCTCACGCATGATGACCCTACCCCTGGCCATCTAGGAACTACACAAACACTTAGTTGCACAAAAGAGCGGTTCTATTGGCTGAAAATGAGCAAGATATTTCAAAACTACCTGGCCAGCTGTACGCAGTGTCAGAGCCACAATCGGCTCACCTCGGGTCCAATTGGTCACCTGCAACCCGTAAAGCCTCCTCGTTTCCCTTTTGAAATGGTCGGTATTGATCTGATGGGACCATTTCCACCCTCCTCAAAAGGTAACCAGTGGATAATTGTATGCGCCGACTACCTGACGCGGTACTGCGAGACGGCTGCCTGATTCTTCACCACGGCAGGCCAGGTTTCGGAGTTCCTGTTGTATTCAGTCATCCTCCGACACGATCCACCTCGCGTGATAATAAGTAACCGTAGACGAAAATTTGCCACTGATATTGTGCAATCATTACTTCGTCTGTGTGCCGCCAAGTTCCGACACTCAACTGCGTATCATACACAAACTAACGGCCTCACCGAGCGCACAAACCGAACGTTCATCAACATGTTGTCAATGTATGTCACCACCGACCACGAAAACTGGGATGAAGTATTACCATTCATCACGTACGCCCTCAACACGGCGAAACACGAAACGACAGGCTATAGCCCTTTCTATCTGCTCCACGCTCACTCACCTCGACATACGCTGGACACTATCTTTTCTTTTGCTGTCCATGACAATTCAACAATTGCGGAAACTTTGTGTCGTGCGGAAGAGACACGTCGACTTGCCTGCTTACGTACACTGGCAGCACAAGAGTCGTCCGAAACTCGCTACCAAAGTCAACACCGGCATGTAACCTATGCCCCCGGTGATTTAGTGTGGGTGTGGACCCCAATACGCCGACGTGGCTTGAGCCAAAAGCTACTGGCACACTACGCTGGTCCGTTCGTGATACTCCATCGTCTCAGCGAGGTCAACTATGAAGTTTCGTGGGCCACCACTAGTGGCCGACGTTCATGCAAGACAGAGGTGACACATTTTGCCCGCCTGAAGCCGTTTACACGAAGGATACAAGAATGACTAGCCCAGAGGGCTTCGTCTGAGACAGGAGGAATTATACGAAGTGTAACTACCAGAAAAAACAAGGGAAGCGCGGGTAGAAGAGAGAGGAATACGACGTTGCTTCTGCTGCGATTCTCTGAGTGAGTACGAGCCATGCCGGTGGAATGGTGATCATCATCATACTGTGATCGCGGACTCGGTGCGCACTAAAACCCCACCCCTTAAGTTACCTTATCATACGTAACAATATTGATGCAGTACGGCAAATTTTCGCTCTAAAGAATGTGTCGAATCATCAATTAAATCAAACTCACAAAATGTATGTAACTTTACTTGTCGATACAGTGAAACAAAATAATTAAATGGTTGGTTTGCCGTATAGAAAAAAAGTTACATAGTTGTTGCAAAGGCCAAGCAATAAACGCGATAGCAACAACTTGGAAAATCCCATGACGGATAGAAAGTAGATCGAAATGTTCCCCGCGTTTCTCACGCAGAACTGACGCACGAAACGTACTCACAGCTCCAGATGAACGTGAATAAGCGTCTCAGTTCTTACTTCGTTGTGTCTTAAAAGCACGAGCTTCTCGCAAATGGAGACTGTGCAGCGAGTGCATTGATCTTTGTGCGCCCGTTGGCTACAAAAGAATCGTTACTGTGAGAGTTCAAGGCGTACAATCGTCGGCACCGCGAGATAAGGGTGCGTGCGTGAGCTTCCACCCTCCCCCCCCCCCCGCCTTCCACCCTCCGCTGAGCAAAGTACGAGTGGGAGATGAAAGCGCGCACCACCGCATCATGACGCTCTGGCAACGCGCACTCATTGCGCCATTGCTGGATGTGCTGAAAACACTACAGTCTCCCCGAGATGGCCATCGGTCGCGGTAAGTGGTAGATATAAATAGCTTGCCATCTGAACAATAGAGAGTTTCAGTACTGCGTACGCTGCGTACGTGGCGGCGTTGCGTACGTAAGGACGCCACGTTCTGCGTAGTGCGCATGCGCAGACCACAACGCGCACGTATCGCGTTACGTATGCAGCCGCTACGTACGCACGCTTGAGATGCGTGCGTGCTTACGTATGAGGTTATCGCGCAGCTCTTGAACAAGTTCGCGACAGCGCGAGACTTCGTTTTGCAAAATGGCGGCATCGAAGGCAAGCACCAACTGCCTCTGTGGCTTAAAATATGGCCATAATCTGGCTATAACTTAGAAGTGTGGCAGCTTGGGCTAGTTGGTATGACATGACGATAGTTATAGCAATAGTTATAGTTTTCGCGCTATAACTACCATCTGGCTATAACACTTGGATTAGCTCACATTGGCTGTCAACAACACGTGCTTCTATTTTGATCTACCAGATGGCGCAACACGCTTCACGCTCGTTACGTACGCGGGTACTACGGCGTACTAAAAGTCGATTAGTGGCAAACGACGCCACGTAACGCAAGGCGCTCGCGTGATGCGTACGTAGCACCATTCCGCAGTACTAAAACTCTCTAATGAGAAAGGAGTTCCTCCGTGACTCAGTGGCTAACCCCTCGCACTTACAATTAAAAGGTCGGGTCTTTTTCAAAAGTCAGGTTGGGTCTTCTTCAGCTTTATTTTCTATTTTGCGTTTTCATACTTATGATTACGAATGGTGAATGAGGTGGGGTAAATCATACGTACGATGAATGGGTACGTATGGTGAATGTTTGGATATATATGGTGAATGACCGTGATGTTGACGCCAGCGGTAAAATATAGCTTACTGTGTTGATTTAATTGCTATGACACAAAATTGATTATGTAGTTTTACTGAAATTATATCATTTTTGTTAAAAACATTGGTAAGCAAGTTTGCTCTATGGCAGTGCTCTAGGATAATGTAAAGATACGCCTTAAGGGAATATGCATTCTCCTATTTTAAAATTAACAATCGTTTCATTGTTTCAACTGAGGCGTGACCGTAAATTCAGGGGCGGGATTGCCGCAAAACATGTGGTGTTGATGTAAGTAGCGCCTCAGTATCTTTAAATCAGTGTATACATAAATGTGCTGTAAGCGCCGAAGTGTACCTTGGCGCTGAAGTCGGTCTTCCTTTCAATATAAATGTGGTGCGTAGTAAAGCAGGAAAACAAAGACATAATGAATGTGGTGCGTAGTAAACTAGGAAAACAAAGACATAAAAAAGTAGGAAGAAGCAGAAAGGTGCGGCGCTGAACATCAATTGTTTATTCAAAAGAAGAGGCCACCAGGTAAGAACTCTCTGCGCATTCATGCATCAAAATTTGTAAACACTGATAAAAAGACTTGTCACTAAGGCAACCTGTGTCTCGCGTAATGTGAAACCTCTCCAATAACTCTCAGGGTATTGTGTCGTAGCTTCTACCAATTATCTTGAGCTTACCAGCCGAGGCTCACATCGGCAGTCTATACAGTGCGCAGGTATGTGCGCATTAAAACCTTTTTAAAAACCATTTAATGTTGTATGTTGATGATGCTGATCTTTCATTGCTTGTACTACTTTCACTTTTCATTGCATCAGCACAAGTTCGCACAAAAAAAAAGCTTCGTATTTGCCAACCCGACTGCCTTCTTTTTCGCCGTCATGAGTATGGAAGCTATGAAATCATTGTTTATAGGCCTGCACGAACCCCTAATGCAAGATTTGCGCAAATTCAAATTCAGATCAAGATACAACGAGTAGATAATGTGCGTTTAGCTTTGAGTCGCAATATGACAACTTTAGCGCCACAAGGGAATGCTCAGTACGATGGGTCGCATAAAACTAATTCTGTTTGTTGCAATCGGAAAGGAACACGAAAGCCGAGGGCTTGTAAATGTCCGGATATTTGTTAAATTTTCAACCTTCAGCAGTAGCTTTCCTGAGCACGGCGAAAATTCCGAAAATCTGAAACTGTAGACCGTTTCTGTGGCAATAAGAGATAAATATGTAGGAAAATTTCTCCAATTAGTGGAAAAATGGTTTACACTTTCATATTTACCAGAGAAGTTTCTTATATACGTTGAAACAGTGAAGAATATAAAACATTATTCCCACTCGATTCTGCATTTAACGGCAGGTTGTGTGAGCCATCTATTGTTTTCGGTATGTCACATCTCCACAGGTTTAGCTGATACTATTTCTCAATTATATCACCCTGATAACATTCTGAACCACTTTCTCACCAACAGTGTTTGGTTTTCCTGTAACCTGGTGCAGCCTCGTGATCGGCTTGACAGGGACTGTATATACTGCACTGGTAAGTATCCACGTAGAATGCTATGAGCAACATTCGTTGTAATCAGAAAGATTAGCGCTACCACCCATTCGCTTAGCTAACAAAATTGCCACTTAACAAGTTCACCCAGTAATGCCAAGTAACAGTGCCTTAAGAAAAAACTGTACAAAAACGCTGACTGTCTTTGTTCTTTTCGTACAGCTCATTTTAAGAAAAATATGAATAATTTTTTTGAGGTAGCTAACCTAGTTAGTAATAAGTGAAATATTTCATTACTATCGCATGATATATAGTTTACTGTAGCTTCTTCATAAAATGTCAAATCTGCAATAGCTACTTATCGTGATACCTACAGAAGATTTTCGTAGCCTTACTCAGGTACCATATTCAATGTATGTAATATAATACATTAGGCATTGCAGGGCATCACCACAATGCGCGTTGTTGGGTAAGTGATTGCATCACTCATAGTATGAGTAACGTGATCACTTATCAAGGACAATTAGTGTCTGATAGCAGATTGTCTCTGCACTGATGAAAGGGACTTATATCGTTTTAAGATTTGTTTAGGCTTCGTCGTAATAAAATTTGAATCGATACTCGAGTGCGCAGCGTGTTTTTGCGGGTGGAAACGTTAAGAAAGAAGAACGCCTGTGTACAGAAACGCGATGTAAAAATGGCTTTTGCTGATCATAAAGACAGTAGTTTAAGGTGCAGATACAGTTCTATGCTGCAAGCACGAACGCGGTAGTTCTTTGTACGTTCAAGAAACGCCTTGCCGGTAACGAAAAAAGCTCCAGACTTTTGACGGCGCGCGTTGTTGTGGCCACCGCCGTGCGCTGTTTTCAATCGATCTTGTACTTGTTTGCTGTTTTTGTGCTTTGCTTAGATCTGCGATACCTTTCAGTGTTATAACAGAATCGAGTGAATATTCATGACTGTGGGAGCTGTGTGCCGTAGCTCTAGTATTAGCCATAGCTCGTGCCAACGTAGAAGGCATGCGCGCACGTTCGTGTCGTTCGGGCGCTCGTACACCATGTGTTTAACTGAGTGTTCATGAGTAGGCTACGTTTGTAAACCCTGCTGTCAATAACCACTCATGGCGGGCCACTGACTGCCGGAAGATGGGCTTCGTGGTTGGAATATGCTGAGGCCTCATTCTGAAAGCACACTTTTAAGCGATTATCAAACAAATTCATTTACACGTGCTAACCAATGCCTATTTCAAGCCCGTATGTAGCCAGGACTCTTTTCAGCGGGTTGGGGTGGGGTACTTGTTAGAGGCTTTGAGAACCCGTATTTTCATTATTTATTACTGGCAAAACACCTTGCTTCACCGATCGTGCCGGTTTACCGTGACGGTTTGCATTTGTTGTTTCGTTGTGAGCCTGCTTTATGCCTGTATATATGAATCATTGTTGCGGAACAGGCACCTTCATTTCATTTCAATTTCATTCTGGAGAATCGCAACTTGCCGTAATTTTGTGCAATCTCGTAGAATACAACCACACTACCGGTTCTCATAGGGTCACTTCTCCCACCACGTGTTGTATCTGCATGGTGAGCAGTCTTAAAGAAAAGCTACTAAACAGTTGGCAACGCATGAATTGACTTGTTTGCAGCCTAATTTACTAGCTTCGCGGCATCACTTTAGTGTTGCCAGCAGGTAGTAAAGCTCGAATTTCTTGCCTTCACCAACCAGGAAAGCTTTCTAGGTCTTTTAAACTAGATGACTAATTAGCAACATACGACGCCAGATCTATTGTAATTACCACCGTATATTATGCAGTAATAGCGACATTCTTAAGAAAAGTTTTTACCATTCGCACTACCGTTGGTTGCTTCACAATAAAAATTTCGTGCTAAATGATCACACATATATAGAAGGGCAGACTATGATGAGCACAAAATGCCATGTATTTTGTAAATTCTATGGCTGCTCAACAATATAGATTCTGCAAATCCAAAGTAGAAGCAAAAACGGCCTGCAAATGGCTGCAACAGTGTATACCGACTAAGTCTTGATAATCTATATATGCGCGTTTGTGTGCATGTCCTCGTCCAAGATTAGTTCATGTATAAGTTTGTGTTGCTTTGATGCGTACTTGCCATGGTAATTACATGATGTAATCAGATGCTACTGGTGAATTCAAGTGAACAATTGCAATTCGCTTTGTCCTATATATACTTCTGTAAATGAATTATCTTGACGTGGGAATATATATGCACTTAAAAGCACTTGTTAACTAAAATTTCACCATTGTATAAACTCCCTCAGCAATATTCACGCACTACTTTACAAACAATTAGGTTTCACTAATCAGCATTTTACTACATTGACTTACTAGCAGGTTAGTACTTTTTGTGACAAGTAAACGGTCAGTACTTTGTCAGGTAAATAATGTGGACTTTTTCGTAGGCGTGCGAGTTTAAACGAGTCATGATTTATTAATCTTTAGGATCAAATGCGTTAATGCTTGAAAGACAACTTTGCAAATTGTCGCGTAGGGATTCGTGGAGGGGCCACCTTGGTTACGTGGGATTGCCTCCTTTTCCTGTCTACCTGAACCAATGCTTGCGAAAGTCTCTTTCTGTATGGTTCCTCATGTACAACTCTTCACACACACACTGTTCACAAGTGGTATGAGCCTTGGGACAGGAGAAGAAGGAGAAGCATGAAAGCCAGGGCAGGAAAGAAGAGAAAGATGAAGTTAGGAATGAAGCGTATTAAAATGGATGCCAGTTACATACTGAGGCTATATATAATTCTGTTCTTTTCTTTTAAGTAGGAACACTACAATATTTTGGCACAGCCGGCCATCGAAGCCAACAAGTGGGTGACGTTCTTTGTTGACGAGACCTATGCAGACAAGATCATCTTTTCGAAGTACCAAGTTCCAGATGAAACAGTGGTGGACCTACCTCGTGAGCTCTGCTCGGAAGAACTCGTGAACCTTGTTGTGGGAAAGGCAGCCGTGGACACTACTGAACTATGACAGAAAGGTGCTGTACAAGTGCACTTGCGTGTGGCGACCTTCTACAATATTGTTCTTGAACCAGCGCGTCAAAGAGGCTCAGGATCGCGATCTTCGACGAAAGAGGTGAGCCTCGTTTTGAAAGCTCTTCAGCTGCAACATGAGCATATTGTGCAACAGAAATAAATAATGCCATCCCTTATAAGTTCTCCGAATGCTGAGAAACCGGTACCTAAATTTGTAGAGTTTGATGCCTTCTATGGTACGTCTTCAAGTCCAGAAAGTGTGCTTGAGTTCTAAGAATATGCCACTGGAAAAAAACAGGTGGCTCTGTGTTGAGGAAAAAATCACTAACACATGCTTGTTACTTGAGAGGTGTCGCACTGAAGTGGTATAAAATGTGCAATCAAGAAGAAACTGACGGCTCTTGGAGTCAGTGGAAGAAGAAACTTTCGACTGCATTCGGAAGCAATCCACTACATAGATGGAGTAGAGCACTTAATTTCAAGTCCAAGCAAAGCTCCCTTCTCGAGCACTTATTCGAAAAACGCCGCCTTTTATAGCTAGCTGAGCATTTGCTTACATGTACAGCCATAGTAGCCCTAATGATTCATAGATTACACACTGAAGTCTTGAAGCAGGTGAAAATACGGTCACCAAAATCATTTGATGACCTCCTGGAGTGTCTACAGAACATACCATCCACCTCGGCAACAAGCGTAACCGCTAATTCAAGCAGCTCTTTCAGTCGGAGTAAAGCGGACTGGTCAATCCGCGATTAGCAAAAACAGAGCCACCTCGCAAGTCGCACCGATAACTTGACCTGGTGCGCTCCGAGAGGTCGAGTGAATACTGTCGACACCGAAGCTTATGAGGATTCGACAGAAAAAAAACTAATACATTAGGGTAATCAGTCTCACCCTAAGACCTCAAATGAGACAGTTTATTCAAGTTGCTCTTGCCTACTTGAAATTCCCGTCAAAGTAGAAGACAAGCCGATGATGGCTCTCGTACATAGCGGTGCATCTGTGTTTATTATAAAGGACAAGATGGTGTATGCACATCACGTGCATATTGTGATAGTCCTACGGGCACAAGGTTATGATGGAAAAGTAACATTGCATGATCAGTGGGCTTTTGTAAACATCGAGTTCCAGGGTGAGAAAATAGAGAGCGAAGTGCTGGTGGTAGGGCGGCGACGCACAAATTTTTGCTATCAAGACGAGTTATAAAGAAATTAAAGATCAACGTATACTGGTACGACGTGGTTCTAGTCAAAGCCGTAGCAAGGAACGAGAAATATCAAGGCAGACAAGATAGCTTGAGAGTTGTGAAGTGCGCGGAGGATATCGCAACGACCTACCCTGAGCTTGCGTGCAGGGAAACCTATCCTCAGGCGTTCAAGTTATACAAGGTTTCTTTTGAACTCGCTGACAAGACTGTCGTTCGAAAATGGCCTCACAATATGTCAAGGGAGCGAAAAATTTAGCTCAAGAAAGAGTTGCAGGAGATGCTAGATGCTGATATCATAAGACCATTGGTATCACGCTCAGCTTCTTCTATAACAATCGCACCGAAAGAAGACGGAACCTTCAGATAATGCAGCGGCTACAGGTTTCTGAATCGTCAAACAGAACTCGTACCATTTCCCATGCCGAAGATCGACACAAACATAGATGAGACTGGTGGTTGCCAACAATTTTCCAGCATTGATTTGTGCAAATTATAAAAAGGCTTTCGGCAGATCCAACTAACCGAGGAAACAAAAATGTACACAGCTTTTATCACGTCATTGGATCTCTACGAGTATAACCGGCTTTCTTTTGGTAGAAAAAACTTTCCAGCGAGGTTTCAGAAAATCATGAACGACGTGCTATATGACCTGTCTCGGCTTTGTCTCGTCTTTTTTTTTCTCTTTGTCAACCTTGCGCCACGTATTTCAGCCTAATATTTACCAACTAGCCCAACCCAACGTACTGTTAAGCTTTCATTCTTCTACAAGGGGCCCTTTCCAGTCTGTTTTACCTTCTACTCAAGCTCAGGATT